GGGGGGGAGGGAGAGATCATATATTATACAAAGAAAGAAGAAGGAGAGATAAGGACAATTGATGTTTGATAGGAAAGAAGGAGCCATCCACACTAGATCGCCCACCAACCAATCGGTGTGAGGTCGATAGCGTCTCTCATTGCCAATGCCATTCTCATTAACCTCCATAGACACGTAATATTATAGAAGACAAATCCGCTGATCTAGTTTTATTCGTAAGAGTTTTACGGCACTTACATCACTAAAAGGTCATAATATAATTGCCAAAAATTGGAGGTATTACTCGATAGTAACATACAAAGAAAAAAAAGGAGAAATAATGACGATATTTTTTAAAAGGAAATAATGGTTAATTTTTTAAGAACTGTACGTATCTTGCAACCTAAATGGACATAATAATATAAGAGCCGAATAAAATAACATAAAAGAAAGAGGGAGCATACCACAGTCGCAAGGTGCCCACAAACCAGCCACTGTCTCGGAATGAGGTCAGTAACGTTTCTCATTGCGGTTATCCCTAACGACAGTAGACATGTTTTATATACGACAAGTTCCCCGATCTAGATGAGTAGGTGTAGCAGCCGTAGCCATACTAATCAACACAATGCGTGAGTAATGGGTTCTCCTACTACTCGTAATGTCGTCTTGCCATAATAAAACCATTAATGCCTTCTCATAACGGATAACGCATGCACAATGGTTGTAGGAACTCGGGGAAATAGATGAGATGATAGGCAGATGGGGGGATATAATAATTGCATACGGCTCACGAACGTAAACACACTCAGTTAAATGTACAGACACACACACGTACATACACAGACACGCACGAGCACGCACAAACACACAGACACACATACATACACACATACACACACACACACACACACATACACACACACACACACACACACACACACACACACACAAAGTGAATAGATCACAGCTGCGGTCACCATTATTTTTTTTCCTTCCGATTTTGAAACAATAGTATTGAAGTTGCATTGACATAGACAGTAACGAATGGTTTGAAAGGGGGGAAAAGGGAAAGGAAAATATGGTCACAGCTCTGTCAACTAGTGGGCGTTGACTTGATTTCTTCCTGTGCCCCTTTGTTATGCTAGTGAAAAGGTCAAGCAGGACGATCGATTCCACGACACAGCAGCAGGGGCTCTGTTCATCTCTGGCCTAGCTGTTCAGTTATTGTGGTTGTTGATGATGGCGGGAAGAGGAGAAAGGGTTGGGGGGGGGGAGGGTATTGAAAGGAGGAGAGGTGTTGTTCTACTTAATGATGGTCTGTCTCTCTTCCTGTCTTACAATTTTAAAATTTTTTTGGGGGGTCTCTTTTTCTTCTTATGTCTTTTTGCTCTTTCTCCCCAAGTCTCTTTCTTCTCTCTATCTATCTATCTATCTATCTATCTATCTATCTATCTATCTATCTATCTATCTATCTATCTATCTATCTATCTTCAATCTAAGTATCTATATATCTGTCTATCTATCAATCACTCATGCACACGTATACATTATATTATGCACACACATGCACACACACCCACCCACACACACACACTCTCTCTTTCTCTCTCTCACACATACATACACACACACACACACACACACACACACACACACACACACACACACACACAGTCTTCCTCACCGACACAGAGGGCAGAAGACTAGTAGCACAGAAGCACACACAAAAATAACAA